AGATGCGCCAAAGCAGGAAAACCTTCAAAACATGCAGGATACACGTGTACAAAACGGTCATACCTCATTTCTCAGATGTTTGTCTAAAAAAAAAAAAAATTATAGCACATATCTGTCTTTTGTATAGCACAAAGTAACTGAAAACTAAAATTTTTTATTAGTTAGACTGATTTTTCTTAAAATACTATTTTGTTAAAAAATACATTTAAATTGTTTTAGCTCATGTAATCATTTAATACTATATATTCTTCATATTTGATCATTCATTGACGTACATTTATCCCACAGCAGTTCTGCCACAGTATGATTTTAAATATAAACAAGCTTAGCACATCCAAAACCTTGTTATTCCTATAAAACCGTGAAGATTAAAAGTATAAACATTTGAAACATGATGACATTTGAAACGTGATGTTCTCCTGGCAATGATGAGGAGCTAAATGTTAAACTGAGATTGATCTTTGCTTTAATATACGCAAACAAATGTTTGTTAGTCAATATATTGTTTAATTAAAAGAACACAAACAGTGAATCTAGACTCACAGCTTGTGCAAGCTGCGGTCCGTCTAGGCTCAGTTCGGTTCACGCTACTCACGCAGGGCACACGCACCCTCGCAAGTGATGGAGGTGTTTATACTTGGCGTTTAAGTTGTTGTAGTATTCTCCAAAAGGACATGTGACAGAACACGTTGTAGGAGAGCAAAAAGCTTGACAAACAAACTGAATGTTGCGCATCGCGCGCAGCCTTAGCAAGAGGAGCTTCGTCACACACGCAAAGTTGGACATATGTTGGATAACGACGCTCGGAACACACAAATATTTAATATAAATTAGGTTTTAGAGCAAAGTCTCGGGAAGCTCCAGAGTAAAGTGCAGAAGGAGAGAGGAGGTTTACTCATTGACTGACCGCTCCTCCAGCCGCTGCTCCTGCAGACTTTTTAGACCCGCCCTGCTCTGCTCTGGGGTTAATTTGATTTGTTGAAAATAGCATCACGTTTAAAAAGGGATAAACTGAGCGGCTTTAGTCAGACCGCAACAGAAACACACCCCCACCCCCCCCCTTCTTTAACAGATTACAGAAATCAGCCACAATGGAGAACTTTAAGCCCTGCAGGTTGATCAAAAATTTACTACCAAGTCTAATTCTGTTTGTTACCTTTTACTACCCTTCACTGGCCTTTATTTGAACTCTTTTAATTTACTACCTTTTACTACCCCGCGGCAAACCTGTAGCTGTAGAAATTAAACTGGTACAAAGAAACACTGTTGGTTACTTGTGTTTTATGTTGGCTGTGCAATCTTATTTGAAAGTTACACTTTACAAAAAACTAAACAAAAAAAAAAACAGCATTTAAAACAGACATTTAAATTTTCAGTCTGTGCAAAATTTGTGTGTTTGTGCATATATAATATGTGTGTGTATGACTAATATTGGTAAATATCAGTTATCGGCCATAACAGCACTATCAATATCTGATACTCTAATTTTTAGATTGGTGAATCTCTAGTTAAAGTGATCAACTGAATGAATGGAAAAACAGCGCTAGAGCGTTCAATGAAAGACAAAAAAAGACAACCTAATACATCATAATAATATGCAATCAAGATAGGAGCTTTAGTTAACAATTACTAGAATTAAGTAAAACAGAAAAAGAAAAAAAAGTCAGATTACAGTTGCTTCTAACATGCAAAGCCCTGACACGTGGTTGTTTTTTATTAAGAGGGAGCTTCTTTTTTTTCCAGGAAGTGAAGCTGTTTAATGTCAGAAAATAGCAGTGGTGATACAGTGTTTCCCCTACCATTATACAGGCAGGGCAGGACACCTGGACATGTCTCCAGTTCACCAGAGACACCTGGACAGGTCTCCAGTTCACCAGAGACACCTGGACAGGTCTCCAGTTCACCAGAGACACTTGGACAGGTCTCCAGTCTCCATCAGGGACACAAAAGAGACAATCAACCATCCACACTCTGTCACACCTAGAGTCACACAGAAGAGCTCCAGAAGGTTTCAAACTGAGAAYTCTGGACTCAGATCATCTGCTGCACACAGTTCTGATCACTTATTATCAATAAGAATTTTATTGACAATTGTCATGAGGAGTCCTTAACTAGGATGTAGTTGGGCAATTAAATATTCATGTATGTGTAAATTTATTACCATAATTGCAGGTGAGTAGAGCTGGGCGATATGATCAAAATTTCATATCATGGTATTTTCAACATTTTCACCTGTTTCACGGTATTTGACGGTATTTTTCTTTTCATCACAGCTCAGCTAATAATAAAATGCACAAACCCTGCTTAATGACTTTTTTTTCTTTTACTGTACCTCTGTCTGTGTCTCTGTTTCCCTCCTCTGTGTCTGTTCTTCTCTGACTGGTGGTTGGAGACAGTAGTCATGCATTTTGGTCCAGTCATGAAGGAGGAGGGTTAAGAAAAGCTTATGATCGGGTTTATTATTTTATGTTATTTGTTAAAGCTTATCAGCACGACTCACCTTGCACACCAGTCAATTCCAACTCCACTACGAACTACTTCCTGCAGGCTTTTCACAATGGAAGCACGTTAAGTCTCCATCAGCATAACGTCTTAACTAACCACGTTAAATCTAACTGTGCACGTCACTGAAGAGGTGTTTACTACATTCAGTGACGGCAAAAACGGGATGTTTTTTAAAACGTCAGTCAATATAAGCAGCGGAATCGCCACCTGCGGCTGCAACTAGCTGCTCCAAACATTAGCATGCTAACGCACATAGCGGTGCAGCAAGGAAAAATATCCACTGGGAAACAACTGTTCACTGGCGACCGCGACGAAACGTTCCGCTATTTAAACTGGAATGTCCGGTATTCAAAAAATTCATATAACAAAAATTAAAACCGGTATTCGGTACAAAACGGTATACCGCCCAGCACTACAGGCGAGTCACGCAAATTTATGTTTTTATAAAACAAGTAGCCCCCCCCCCGCCCCGCCAAGACCAATTTCCTAGGGGAAACACTGTGATAGATACAATCAATGAGAGAATATTCTTTGATTTGTAGTTAGCAACTCCCAAATCGTCCTGTAGAACATTTTGTTTAGAGTCAGGCAAAGCAAAAAATAAATAAATAAACAATTCAAAGTAATGCCGATCTGTTTGGTTGATTAGAAATGCTTAATTAATGTGAATATGCTTGTTTATTAGTCATGTTAGTAATGGTTTGAACTTTTGAAGTTGTAATAACTAAACTAACTAGCAGGTTCCAAAAGACTAGTGTAAATATTAAACAACTTAAAAACATGACAACAAAAATTGGCTTCATGTCTTTGAATCAATGAGCTAAAAGGAAACTTTGCTGACAAAAAAATGAAGGTGCACAGAGGTAGATTTAGTAACCTGATTTTATCATTTAGATGGAAAACAATAAGTCAAAAGGATTCAAGTGCAATATTACTAAAGGCAATTGCAATAGAATTAGGACCAATCCAATTTGTTAGTCTTTTAGGCGGAGAATCATAAAATTTAAGATGCAAGACTACAGTCTTATTCAAGTGTTACCCTACTGTTATCCAAGGAGGACCACCCACTCTGCCATAAAGGTTATGGCATATAATAAATTAATATACATCTAACCATTATCGCACAAAACCATTTCTGTGCGGCACAGGATACCGAAGTCAATACAGCACTCCTATGTACAGACATAACCTGCAATGTGCAATACTTATTGCTTAAAGTTCTGCTTTTACTATTCACTAAAATAACCAAGAGAAAACCACAATTAAAAAAATTTGTATGTAAATTACCCAGGAACCAGCAGACACGTTTCATGTTTAATAGTATCAATGTATAAAAATCAATTTCTTATGAATTTTTTTAAAAAGGAACATTGGTGGCCATTTTCAAAAAAAGAAAGAAAAAAAAGCTGTTTAAAAAAAATGAGAAAAAGCATAATGCTTTCTGTTTTCACATGCAAATGTGGCAGAATTTGTATTTAGTTCCTTTTTGGCTCAAGCTTCCTTAAGCCGACTTTCTCTCTGCCTTCAGGGCCTCCTACTGTGATAAGAAGTCTTTTCAAGACTATGATGAAATCTTTTTTGGGGTAAAGCAGCCATCATACTCTGATAGAGCAGCAAACTATTCTATCAGCTGGAATTATATAAGAAATATTTAAAACCCTGATTTTGTTCCATTTTAATGTGCTGTAAAATGTCTACTATTGTAACAATGCACAGCAAATACTGTGTAAGAGAAAGATTAAAAAAAAGAACACTCGACTAAAAATACACGAAGCAAAGTGGTCATTTTATAAGAGGCGATTTCCTCTATAATCAGTCAGCAGCTTAAGAGTATTGCATTTGAGAATTATCTTCCTTGTAGACGATAAGTAGAACTGAAAATAAATAAATAAATACTGAATTGAGCTCAAAATCCAAATGGCAAAAAACTAGAGTCCTTAACGTCACAAACGGTAAAGAGATGTTTTAGCTAAACACAATTTAATCTTTGTTTTGCTCCCATACATTGATATTAAACAGAAACAGGAGAGATTTCATTAAATCCATAGGAGAGCTGTTCTTTAGATAGACTGTTGGACTGACTTTACACAACATTTTAGTGTCATAGTTGGAGAATAATGAAGTGTCTTTTGAGCATGAAAGCAAAAAGATTCACAACAAATTACATCTGATGATCTAGATGTCCAGGGTATCATAATGCAAAACTTGCCTCTGTTTTCCAGTTAATCATCATTAGCTTAACACAAGTACTCTGCGCTTATTTAAATATTGCAGTTCAGCAGGGGCAGAATATGGTTCTGAAATTTATTTTTCCAAAGTTTAACTTCATACCAATAAAACACAGTGGATTTATATAAGACCAAGTTCACTGAATCATTTGAAGCACTGTCTATAAGTTCTGGCCATTTTCAGTTCCCCTTTATGCATCATAAATGCTCGCCAAAACCTCCAACGTGACATGTGAAAGTCTAAACACAGATACGGCAATGACTTACCTTCAAGACTTCTCCACGTTTGAAACTAAGCTCATCATCAGCCGTAGCTTTAAAATCGTACTTGGCGATGGCCTCCATGGTCTTTGTGGTGCGCTGGAAATCGACTTGGCTGCAGTCGTGCTTCTACGATGGAACTGTGTAACAAACGCAGTCTGTCAGTGGTCAAAAGCTTTTCTCCAAGTCTCTCCTCCCGTCTATGACCCGTTCCTTTAAGGACTTGGGCCTCACATAAAGGTCACAGTGCAGCACCTGCAGAACAGGAACCAAGTGATACTCAGTTTCGCACAGCTTTTGTACAGAGGTAGACAGTTACAAGGAAAAAAGATCTGCATTTACAACACAATGTTATTAGTAAAACATTAATCTCTGGCATTTCTGGTCAATATTTAAAAAACTTGCATATACAACCTAAAAACATTGTCAGTGACCAGTTTCAGATTGAACAATTTTTTTAGCAACACTGACAACAAAAGCTTTTGATGCAGCGTTTTAATGATGACACTTCCTACACAAATGTCTTGGGGTAGCATCACATTTAAAATCAAATTGAATCATCTATCGTCTGCAGTCAATGCTAACTAAGGCTCTGTTTACACGTGAATGATCTTTATGAGACTGATGTTGATTGTGGAAAGGTTGGATATTTACACGATAATGCTGTGATTGCACAGTTGCTGTTCAGACAAGACCACAAAAAAAAAAGTTGACTTAGCAGTAGACTCAGCAGTAGGTCATATGCTGTCAATATGATTTTTGTATTTCAACAATGTGTGTACATGAGCACAGACACTGTGTTAGTGTTTGGACTGACACTATTGGTAGAATGAACGAAATTAAGACGGTGTATGTGTGTTCAGTGTCAGACGCTCTGATGAAGTGAAAAAAGTGAACACCACAAACTTTTATTTTACTGTTGTTGATTTACAAACACAAATTGCAGCAAAACTGCAGCTGTTCATAGTGTGCATGCTCAATGTTGCCTAAGTTGCGGTTTCCCTTTAAATGATGCTGGGTGTTACCAAAAACCTCCACTCTGAGACCTGGGTTCAAAAAGTAGTGACAGAGATAACGATCACTAATTTGTTCTCGAAACGATCAAAATGTATCATATGGTTTGACTTAACAGCACTGTGTAAAGAAAGCTAAAGACCAAAAAAATATGGGAGGTTTTCACATAAAAACTAAAAGTTAGATCGCAACTTAGCAAAGCAGGGCTGTTTTTCCACAACAGAACTACAGAATGAACAACAATTAAAAGAGGCTAGCCTTCGCGGAGCTGTGATATTCTGGACAGGTAGTTTTCAGTGAGTTAACTTAGTGCACCATGTAAAATTGCTAACATGGATTAAGAAATATTCACGTTAGTTTGAACAAAGTCTTATGGACAAACATCCTTTGACTTATGTTGACACACTTTAAGTTTATGTCTGTATCCGATACAACTGGACACATGAAAGTAATCTTTGGCGGTACATCTTCTCAAGTCAACCAATTCAAGATGGCTACCACAGTCAACTGATCTTAAAAACAAAAATAAGTATAGTATAGCTCCCTTTTTTACACAGATAATTATCTAAGATTTGGTGTCGTAGTAGCTGAAAGTCATCCACAACTCATACTTTGAGCATGACATACCGCAATATCACAAGTCATAGCACACAAGATTGTTAAAGCAGAATAAAGCCATGTCTCGATGGCAGCTGAATGTGGCAAAAAGTATTCAGACCTCGCCTCGTTGGCAGAGTCCCTCGCGTATTTCTGCTTCCTCTGAACATCTCGTCTCAAACAGAGCCAAGATCACTCCAGAGCACCACACTCAAGCTCTTGCACTGCAACCATGAAATTATAACCGAATCAACTTTTAACGTAGCACTTTTGCAGCCCTATGTGAACTTTTGAACTTCCAGATATAAGCAGAGGCCATTTTAATTACGGATTTTCACTATAGCTTTTCATTTAATAATTTAAAGACATTTTGAGCTTGCATTGTTTATTTTTTTATTTTAGTTTATTTAATCTCATTCAAAATAAGTAATATATTGATTAGTTTTAAATCGTGTGCTATAAGGGTTATGTGTTAAAGCTGCATTGGGAACTTGTATAACATTTGGGCAACGACTTCAAGATGACAATTTAATGTCAAACAAAACATTAAAACTTAATGTTTTAAACTCATTAAAACATCTCTCTCTTTGGGGTGGCTCCAGCAGAAGCTTCCCTCAGTGAACATCAGAGGACAGTGTTAGCTTTCTGCTCTCTACTGGACTTATTCTTCTTCGATGGAAGGATCCACATAGATCCACAGTATATGGTCATTGGTTAAGAGAAGTTATGTCTTACATTCATTTAGAGAAGATTAGATATACTGTTAGGGGATCTGTAAACAATTTTTTTGATATCTGGCAGCCATTTATATCCTACGTAGAAAAACTTTCAGCAGATAATTTTGTGTAAAGGTCAAATATTGTTTCATTGTACACAAACCTGTTCATTATATCACTGATTTATGAATACAAGATGGTTTTATGTTGTTGCAGTAGATCCGGTATAGGAGGAGAGGGATGGGAGGGATTTTGGGTGTGTGTGTTTTGTTTTGTATTTTTGTTAGTTTGTTTTTTTTCTGTAGTTTGTGTTAAAAAAAATAATAAAAAGACTTTGGACCTTTATGGGTTTTGCTGTTGTTCCTCTTTGCTACAATCACAGTATTGGTCCAAGGGTTACACAGAAGTCAGATAATTCCTACAGACTCCTCAGGACAACAGCAGCTGAAGATAATAAGCCAGTCAATGCTCAAGCCTAGCTGACAGTGATAACAGTAGCTAAACCTGGAGCTGCTGGGTTAAACGGATAAAAGGTAGGTTATCCAATTACCTCGTTTTCTAATAGGCGATGGTGCAGCTCTGATGAGCTCACGCTAATCCAACTCCAGCCTTAAAACGGTCATTAAAAGCAGACAGTCTGCCACATAATGAACAACAACAACAACAACAAGCGTGTGGCTATTCTGCCGGCAACGTTTCTAACCAGTTCAGTTTAACTAGTTTACAAGTTAGCTATAAACCACATATATAACTACATGTATGCTAATAGAATTATGAAAGAGTATTTTTGACATTGACGAAAGGCTTGACGTAGCAACTATAAACTCGTGATATTATTGGAGACAAAGAAAGAAACACTTAACACCTTAAAAATGGAAGCTAAAAAAGGTACGATGGGGTGGGAAGGATAAACTGTAAGTGGCCTCACTAATTTAATCACACTCAGTTTCTTCCCATGTCGGCATAAGTATTAAATGGATAATTTTATCAGTGTCGCTGAAATAATCAGAACCCATTTAAAACCAATCATTAGGTCGGGATTTTAAAACCGTATCGACGCTGTTCCAGTCAATAGACTGCGCCCACTGCTCTACAACGACAGTGCTAGCACACCGGCTAACGGACGGTCAACAATAACTGCGCTGCGGTATGATCATCAAACTTATCTCTGCTTTAATGTACCAGCGGCCAAACCCCTTACGGTGTTTACACCACACCAGTACCGCAATTAAAAAGAAGAAAACACCAGCTTGATATAAATTAAAAGCCCGACTGAAGAGCTTCACCTTCTGGTAAAAGGAAGAAAACACCTTTTTTTTCCATAGCTGTTGTTGCTAGCTTACACTAAAGACAGCTATCGTTTCTGAACTTGGCGATCCGTCGAGAAATTACTTTTAACACACAACGTTTGCGTAAACGGGAAGACGTGAAGATAACTTACCACTTGCGAGATTCTGTTCTAAAGATTCCACGGTAAGAAACAAAACGAAGCCGTGTTGTTTTTCTCTCTCTCTGCWCTCCCCGCTTCCTCTCTAGAGAGGCGACCAACCAACAGAACGTTAGCGTCGCTTTTTACACCCCGTCCGCGCGAGGAGCCTGAAGCTAACTGCTAGCAGAGGSTTGATTTCCGCTTCCTTCTACACGCTGGTAGTTTTCTGCTGTTGTGACCGGAGCTCCTCCCTTCGTGTCAAACCAGCAGTGAATCTGTTTATTTTATCCACAATTATACCAGTGTTGTACAAACTGGGATGGGTAATGAYTGAAAACACATAACTAGTATTACAGGAACAAAACAGCACAGCCTGTTTTTAAAGCTAGGCAATTAGATCAGTGTCATATCTGTGCCAGATAAAACAAACACAAAAAATATCTCTGGAAGCTTTATGTTCTAGTGTCAGAAATAAAGTTTAAAAACGTAATGTCTGTTTCTCTTTCATTATGTKTACCATATTGCACATCTGCTTTTAATTTGAGTGAGACGCACATCCTCAACTCTATGTACATCCTACATGATGCTGCCCCCTAGTGGACAGGTTTTGCTACGACATTTTTAAAGCATTTTTTTATTGTTTTGCCAGAATTTATTGTAGTCTGTMAGCAAACTATCTCATGAACCATTGAAAGGATTTTAATGAGGCTCAGAAATTAATCACTGCGTGTATATCTATAACTGACYGACTTAGGTCAGCAGACCAGTTGCGTTTGAGTGTGCCAAGGACAAAGCACAAGCTTAGAGGGGACCGGGCTTTTTCTGTGGCAGCTCCCAAACTGTGGAATGACCCTCCTTTGGACACAAGACAGGCCTCTTCCCTTGTTGTTTTTAAATTGCTTCTTAAGACCCATCTTTTGTCTTTGGCTTTTGTCACAATCGGGATGTTTGACTTTGTTTTATTGTGTTTTTTATTTGTGTTTTATTTGATTACTACTTTTTATTTTTTATTTTATGATTGTATTGTATTCTATGACTGGGTCCTGTCGGTGTTTAAAGTGCTTTACAAATAAAGTTTGTATGGTATGGTATGATTGACATGA